TCTCAGCCTATGTCCAACATAATCCAATCCAATCCACCTCCACTTGCTTCTTCTGCATATTGGTTGGTTCGTTGCCAACTAGCCAGCCAGCCAGCCAGCAAGAGTTCCTTCTTGCTTATTGCTATTATCCTGGTCATCTCATCTTCAGTATCGAGTGAGCGAGTGTCAGTGGCAGCTGTTGATGATGTACATGTGCAGTTTCTTGGAAATGCTTCTGGCAACGCACTGACAACTCTCTCAATCATCACACAGAAGCACTGACTTACTTGACTGACATCAGTGTTGAAAATCCAAATCTGGTTCACACTTCATGCTGAATGCATTGCAGTCGAGTGGAGTGGAGTGGAGTAGATCTCCACACTCATTATTTCAGATTGATGAATGAAGGTCTGTCTTGCTGTCTAACCGATCCTGGCGATCACATCATAACCTGTGCATGTGTTGCCTTTAGTTGAAACGATGCTGTCTAAGAAAATAGGTAGGTAGGTGAAAGAGACAACTTCCTTTAGATTTCTCCCCTTGATGGTGATTGGTGCTTGTTGCTGTTGTTGGTTGGGTATCTTCGTCACCTCCGTCTTCTCTACGTTCACCTGAAGGAAGTCCCGTCTTCCTTGGCTGCCTCACCTCGCCTCCTCTGTCAACTTGTTGGTTTTCGTCTGAAGATCTTAGAGTTTGTGTGACATAAGACATAAATCATCATCATCAGCGAAATCCAAATCTTCTTCTGGGGTCTTTTCATCTGTCAAACAGCGTCCGCCCATCTTCTCGCTCCTCAAGCTCTTTTGCTTGATCCAGTCGACCATAATCAGGAAGACCATCGGTGATTGCAGGAATTACGACTTAATTATTGTTTGTGACACATTAGTGTAAATTAGGGTACAACCTATTGGGTATCTAATCGGATATATAAACTTGTTCTGATGTACACAATAATAAGTTTCAGTAGTGAAATATGGGAATTCAAACAAGTTCATAAATATTCCACTTGACTGTAATCCCTTTCATAGAAAAAAATCAGAGGCAAAGTTAGGTTTTTTATAACACAATCATGTGATATGTTGGTGTCCACCAATGACTTGGTTAAAATCTTCCATCAAAAGAAACTAAGCTGAATATAATCGAATTATTGGGCTAGAATAACGAATTTCTACCTGTTAGACATAGCTGCAAAACTCATAGTCCCTTGAGTAGTCGGATAGACTAGTCCATAGACAATTTGGTTAGGTGAATAATATACCTGGTATTGTTACCGGATAATACCCTATTCTGAACACATTTTAGATACTAAGTAAGGAAAAAGCAAATGATTTTCGTTTTTCATTAGATTCATGTCTTCTGTGAGCAACGTAGACTATCGAAAAACACTGTCTAAAAAAGTACTCGCACCCTAAACATTTTCGACAAACAGTTCATACGAAATAGCTACTAACTAAAGTTTCATATTCTCACTACATGAAAGTATTAAATACCCTGAAGCCTGAAGAAAATGTAAGGTAAGGCAAGTTAGAGACATTAAATATGCTAGGCAAATAAAGGTAAACACTTCAGTAATGCTAATAACAATAATCATTCACTTTCGGCCAATATGGATGATGTAGTATGAAATTTAAACAGATTTACCCTCTGTAGAAGATTTTTGAACGAAATGTAATGTAAATGATAACAGTATTACTAAGTAGTAATATGTAATGACCGGCTGTTTTAGTAGGTTATTGTCTGATCTGAAGCAGGGAATGAGTAGAAAAATGTGCATATGTTCCATAGTGTTAGTGGTTCACGCAGCCAGTATCAAAATTTGCATTTCGAATGAACTATTTCAAGCATAGTTACACTAGTGTACTGCTGAACTTTTAAAGGCCAATGTCCATCTCACATGACGTCTTATCTTCACATTTTCGGTAATTTGCGAAACGGTTGGCTGAAAACAGTTTAAAATGCATCGAAGTACACGATGTAGCGTAATAGACAGAGAGACAGGCAGACAGATAAAATTAACGTATAACCTACCACACAAGTGGATCGGCTATAGTTGCTACACTTCATAGTAGTACACAAAGAACAGGTAGCTATAAAAAAAATGATATCAAAGTTGTGTGAGAGAATAAGCAATCTGAAGATAACATTTAATCCGAATATTCAAGTATTAGAAAATATCAGGAAGTGAATACATCTCTGCTATTGTAACCCAATTTTCAGTCATGTCACCAAAAGACCTCGAAGACTTCAACTACTCAGCTTACATCTTTCCACACGATTCAGGCCAACAGTAAGAGACTTCATCTACTAGTACCGTGCCTTCATCTGGCTACTCTGAACCCTCATCTAATATAATCTAACATCTCCTAGCATAGCATGTCGAGGTATGCGTTGGATCGGCATCTGATCTGCCATGTATATAAAGTTTGTTTCATGATGAATGACTCATATGTTAAGTCTTTTCTAGATTTCAAAACATAACTCTTTGCTAGCTCCTCCTAAATACGGAGTTTTTAAAAAGGATAAATTTTTGACTTCATTCTTCTTATGAGTAGAAATTAATAAAAGAACTGTGGTAGTCGACTTCTTTTACTGCACAATAATATTTATGATTACAGGAAACGACAAGATATGGTCCCGGTGGATGAAAATGTTTCTCCAAGACAAAGTCATTTACTAAGCTGTACATTCGTGAATATATGTAAAAGAGAGTGGAATATATAACAATTATTTCCATTCAGGGGTTAAATTATGTGTTGAATATAACTAAAAGGAAGTAAGTTAATACAAACGTAAGTTTAGAGTAGGAAAATAAACAAGGGATTATAAGATTCAATGCAATTCTGCAATACAGGATCAATGTATGACGGAGTAGGCAACAAATATGTTATACACCGGAATATAGGCATTTGATTATTGGAAAAGACGAGCTGTGTTTCCAGTGAACAAAATTAGTGGAGAATATTTGTAGCTCAGGTGGATGGTCTTGGTTGTATTGTGTTCTCCGGGGTGTTTTGTTTAATTGTGAAGCTTTCATCGTCCTTCTAGACGACATCATCACCACTAACTTCAGTATGAAGTGAGCAGTCAATATCTCTCCATGAGTAATTTAGCTGTTTACCTTGGAGAAGTGGTCTGTGATTGATTGTTTCCTTTGATTGTTGTGTCACTGACTGCACAGATGTTCCTGTTGACTGTTTCTCTGCTTGACATCCCACCTTTCTGTCGTTTATCATATTTCTTATTGGTTGGTAGATTGGGTCTACGTCTATATATCTGTTGATTGCTGACTGACTGACCTGAATGCCAAGCTTCCAGGAAACCTCTCATATTCTTTGTGTTTCCCCTCTCCCCCCAAAATTTCTACATTGTCAAAATTCAATTCATGTCCATAATTATCCACATGCATTGAAAAGAGTGATGAAATGTCGTGACATCTAATAGCCAAATGATGTTCATGTAGACGAAGGTTAAGAGGGTGACCACTTTGTCCAACGTAGTGTTGACTACGGTTATTGCAGTTGATTTTGTAAACGATGTTCGTTTTGTCTTCTTTGGTTGTTGCATCCTTCGGTCTCGACAGTAAATAGTGTTTGGAGGGGATTTGTTGGTTTATGAGGCGCCACACCAATTCCAAGTGGTTTCAGTAATCTTGTCGTGATTTCTGATATATTCTTTATGTATGGTAGGATGATGTGTTTATTGATTTCTGCCGATGACTTTGTAGTTGATGATGTACGCGATAGGCATCTTCTGATAAAGTGTCGTGGGTAACCGTTCTTCTTTAGGATGGACATCAAGTAATTTTCTTCGTTTCTCCGTGAAGCTGTTGTACTGCAGTGTGTTCTCGCTCTTCTGAATAGAGCCTGCATGCAAATGATCTTGTGGGTTGTTGCTACTGTAGCTGAGGATATGGTAAGTGCGTGCTGGCTTCCTCTACACCTGGGTTTCCAGCTTTCCGGCATCTGTCCTACTGACTAAAACATCCAGGAATGGTAGTTGATTGTTTGGCTCCTTCTCCATTGTGAAGTTCATGTCACTGAAAACGTTGCTGATCAAATTGTGAGCTTTTCTTATATCAGCTCTTATCATCATTAAAAAAGATGCTACAGAAAACAACCCCGGACAACCTCGGCTGACCAATCATTCGTCATAAGTTTGAAGTTAAATAATAAAGACCAATAAATTTGAGGGAAAATCAGAATAATAAATGAAAACAATTGATCATTTTATTACTGATAACAACATGAACAACGAAAAGCCGATTGCTCATATAAAGGAATGACTATGAAGAAATATCACTGATATCCGAATGACCTAAAAATTTCCATGGAGTCCTTTCTCAGGACAACAGTGATGGATTGTTTGATGCCATTCAAGGAAATGATTACTTTAAAACATTGTTCAGTGGTTTTCAATTGTATAAGAATTATCTTGACATTTTCTTTATATGTGCATGATTCAAATTATATATCAAACCTATTTAGTAGCTACTACCTGGTGACAGAATTCCTTACTGAGGTAAAAAATGGATCAGAGGCTTGCCATCTTAATTTAGAATTAATAAGAAAGCATAGCGTAAGATGTTTAATTATATCCCTTACTATACATGTCAAACATATTTCCAGTACAGATATTACACCAGATAAAACGATAAGGATGTTAAGAATGATTTGACTGAAAACGAATATCCACTTCAATTCATTGATGAAAGCGTTAGACTGAAAACCTATAGGACATAGCTCAATTTCTATGGAATTTCACCTCAAAGACAATCTAACTTCTGATATTGAGAAGAGAAGAATTTCAAGCTCCCTGGAAAGAATCTTATTTACAATAGTCACCTTGTATCTAGCAATAAACTCAAAGAAAATATGTTACACCTCATTACCTCTAGGTGTATATATCAGTTCACCTGTGTTACCATTGGGACTAAATGTCTCTGTTGTTCGACAGTATCAATTGAATAACTTGTTTTCATTCTCCTATGCTTTCTTTATGTTCATGAATTAAAAGAAACTCACATTTTTTGTATTTCCAGGAAGGACTAGACTATAATCCACTGTATGAGGACGAATAGCTTCAATTAATTCAATAACAGCATGAGAAGTTTTTAGATTTGGATCAGCAAAACCCAATGAATTAGAGATTTTTACAAATTTTCTTGCATTCACCAACTTTTTATTAGCCCATTCAATAATTCTTGTTTCTTCTATTGGACTAGATATACTATTACTGGAGTTGGAGATTTTTCCTGAAGCAGCTTCAGCATTGGTTAACTGTGTTAACAATGAGAATGTATAGGCACGCATGAGTTGCCATAGTAATGCAAGTGTCATTATACGTTTACCTTCATATATATCAGCTCCAGCTACACCAACTAAACTAAATCCAAATTGTCGGCCAAGTTTAATTACATAATTACAATTCTCTACAAAACAACAGTGAAAAAAAAGAACAGTGATAAATATTTTAAGTACGTAAGCGATTGATTCCTGGGTAATATTCATCATCGACTGATAACACTGAAAATTTGGGAACGTTGAACATCTCTTTCGTCCGAATATAGGGCTCTTCAGTAGGATTCACTAATGACCTTGTCAGGGGTCGAACTCAAGACCTTCAGGTCTCACAGCCAACGTTTCAGCTTTAAGGCACTTGGTCACATTCCAGTAGTTCATATTTTCTTACTTCTGTGAATATATAGGTGACTTAGTTTGGAATCGCAGAAATGACATCACTTCCCCTGAGGTTCCAGGTACACCTTCCCTATATGTATTGACAAGGATGGAGACTACAATGAATGCAGCTCCCTACAAATTGCCTCCAGCAGACTAATATCTGTTTATGACTGACATTGGCTAGCAATGGAATCCAGAACACGTGTTCCATCCCGTTTGAGATCCGTCAGCTGGATGTACTTGCGTCCCGATGAGTGATGCTGTCCCCATGAGGGCTCAAACTCGGGACCAACCGCTCCAAACACCAGGGCGTCACCCACTAGACCACCTAGTCATGGGTACGGTTTCAGTTTTGTTGCTTGTCAGTCCAACTAACGACTGGATGATAAAAGCAATAACATTTATATATATATATATATATATATATATATATATATATATATATATATATATATATATATATATATATATATATATATATACGCCCTATGCCAGACCGTTGAGTAGAAACCAAGTGGGAAACGGCAAGTTGGGGAAGAAATGAACGCTTCTCGGGAGACATGGAGCCAGATTAAGCAGACTGTAGAGAAGAGAGTCAAATGGCGATGTGTTACTGTAGCCGTATTTCCACTAGAAACCCAAGGGATAAACAATGACAGTAATAATAATGATAATAATTGGATTAAAAAAATCAAATCTGAACACCATTATTCCATCCACTATGACTGTAAACATCCAAATTAGAAGTCTACTTTTAAAGTCATTAGTCAATAAGATAGAAGTTTTCTAAGTTTAATTTGATCTGTGCTACTGTGTGGTTAGGATATACGACTTTAGCAAGCCGATGAACGTCCCGATGGACCAATGAGAACAATTCACTTGATCTTTATATAAGCAGAATGAATTTTTAAGCAATTGAAGTAATTTTACCCTATCCTGCATCATTTTTTATCTTTTGGTATATATTCATTGTTGAATGAAGTACAAAAGCCTCGGGGATGGGGATGCATCTGTTACTCATGAATAGTTGGCGTATATTAGTGTTTCAGTATCGTTATTTCATTATCTACCTTCACAATCTACTCTCTTACTTCACTCTGTTGGCAGTAGTACCCTGAAACTTGAAAATTAAGCATTCAAGTTTAAAGATCTTTGACAAAATCATTTTGCGTTCACTATTTTCAGTTTTATGGGTTTCATTAACTGAGTCAATTCTTCAATAAATGTTCATTCGACACGGTTTAACTAGAAACAAAAAGCGGAGGTAACGCATCATGAATTCACATCGTATTCAACCAAAATCCTTGGTGACAGAAGTGAAATCAAAATCTGGTTAGCAGTTGGACCTCATAAATCATTTGATAGAGCATCGGACCCTGAAACGCAGTAGTCGCTGGTTCGAATCCTACCATGGTTCAGATTGTTATTCCACCTTCAATCATTAATCAGTACCAGTACCAGTCTGCCAAACTACAGCCACCTCAGATGGTCAAAATGATTTTTAAAAATATCTTTGTAAAGTTGAATTTTGAGGGAGTTGTGGGGATTTGGAAATATTTCGAGTTGTTATTCATCCTAGACTGACATCAGTTGGAGGAACAAAAGAAACCTGGGAGCACTAGACAGCTGCCTCGTCTTGGTACGGGACTCCTTAGCAGTGTGCACCCACGACCTCGCCAGAGATCGAACCCACAACCTTCAGGTTCCGTGGCTAGCACGTTACCATTGAGCCACTGGGTCAGAATCCAATGCTCCATATTTCCAACTTCTGTTAGCTCACGATATAGCGCAACTGCCAACAAATATCATAGTTGAGTAACTGTCCTCACGATCATCAGGCTTTACTCCCACCGGTAACTTGCTGGCCATAGAACCCGAAGGTGGCGGGTTCGATCCTCGGAGAGGTCGTGGGTGCGCACTGCTGAGTCCAATACTAAGATGAAACAGCAATCCAATGCTCCCAGGTTTCCTTTCTTCCTTCAACTGGTGTCAGTCTACGATGAATAACAACTTGAAATCTTTTGTAAAAACAAAATCAACAAACTGTTAAACTAACTTCAAAAATTTTTGTTTAACTTACCGAGACATTGAAAATTCGCTTTAGCTGGTGTATTACAAATCGGTTCATGAACTACTGTCCAATCGACAGTATGTGGACGAACTGAATCGAATAGTCTTAACAATAATAATCCATCAATTAGATCAGAAAATAAATAATTGACACTATCTGGAAAACCCAATGAATTGATCCAATTACGATAAGCTTTAAGAAGAAATAAATTAAAACACAGGATTTAATTTGTCACATGAGTAGTGTATATACGGTATGAAACAACAATACAATTATATTAGTACCAACTACCGTTCAAATGTTGACCATGCTCCTGATCTAATCACTCTGAAAATATAACAAGCTTTATTTTGTAATTCATGAAAAACTCTTATCTACTGAAGTTTTTAGATACATCATGATGATTAGTATCAGTGACCAGGTTTCTTCAGTTGGTTTTAGTTTCAGAACTTCTAATCAATTTATGAGTCGATTAGAATCAATTGTTTGGAAACAGTACAGGATTGATAAGCCGGTCTTATTCATTCATTTATTTCACCTTAGAAGTAGTATTCATCATGGAGTGATATCAGTTGGGGAACCACTGAAAGACTGGGAGCACTGGACAGCCGTTTCGTCCTAGTTTTGTGGACTCCTCAGCAGTATGCACCCACGACCCGACTAAGGATCGAACCCAGGATCTCCAGGCTTCACGGTGAACGCGTTAACCATTAAGCTACTGGGTCGGTTTTCAACGGTTCATAATTTCCAACTTCTGTGAACTGACGATACAGCGCCACTATCATCCAAGGTCTTCAGTTAGCATCCGCTTCACTTCCGACTAGTTGACCCCATAGGTCATGACTTCTCATTAGAGCTTCGTAATACCCATCTAGAAGTAAGTCACTAATGAGCACTATACAGTAATGCATTTTTGAGATGAATGAGGATTTTAATTTAGAAGTAGTATTCATCATGGACTGATATCAGTTGGGGAACCATTGAAAATCTGTGAGCACTGAACAGCTGTTTCACCCTGTTATTTGTTTTATTGTTGGTAAAATTTTCCATGTCTCTGGTATAAGTGTTGCATCACTCATAATACATGTGTTGGATGTTGATTGATTCAATGAACAATGATTCAGCAATCAGCACCATCTCTCTGCACCTAATTAGACTTGACTTCAGTAAAGTGGTTTTATCCCACCCATCCTATTCTGTGGTTGTGTTGACGCATGTATTGGAACAGCCGAGTATTTTTCTAGGTTATTGATCTGATTCGTGTTTGTTATTCTATATTAGGCTAGATTTCGATGTTCCGGTATTCTAACTGACTTTGACCGGCTGACTGGTTTGACCTATATACTTGACTTCGCAGTCATGACATAGAATTTGATAGATAAGATTATTTTGCTTAGTTGGATCTATCCGATCCTTGAGCCGATGAAGCTTATAACAAAATTCTTACGAACACACAAGAAACGAAAAATAAAGGCTAACATGAGTATGAATGATGACGACAACACAAGGAGAAAGCAGTTCACAGCCTCCATTGTGTTACCCTATAAGAAAGGAATATGAGAAAATGTACGTAGGATCCTCAACAAAGCTGTGATTAGGGTCGCATTCAAACCTACAAAATCACTCTATCAAATTCTATGTAATGACTGCGAAGTCAAGTATATAGGTCAAACCAGTCAGCCGGTCAAAGTCAGTTAGAATACCGGAACATCGAAATCTAGCCTAATATAGAATAACAAACACGAATCAGATCAATAACCTAGAAAAATACTCGGCTGTTCCAATACATGCGTTAACACAACCACAGAATAGGATGGGTGGGATAAAACCACTTTACTGAAGTCAAGTCTAATTAGGTGCAGAGAGATGGTGCTGATTGCTGAATCATTGTTCATTGAATCAATCAACATCCAACACATGTAATAGAAAACGCTACTACCAATAGAAACAAAGAATAAAAGGTGATAGGACTATGATAATCAGATGTCGAAAGTGGAGTGTGATTACATTGATATGATTATGTGGAATGATTTATGCTCAAAACGTGGTCACCAAGTAAACAATTTTGTATCACTGTATGTTATAAACCTCCGTTGCATTCTGTCCTCTGCAGTCTTTTCAAGCTAGCTCCACCACTCCCCACAAACTTTCATTGCTTCCTCACATGATCTCCTCTATATCACCCCCACATCCCACGCCTAACTCATCGCTTCCTATCGGGGTTCCACTCCAGAGCCTGACGCATGATATCCTCAATCAGCCTTCTCAGTGTATGCCAAGTCCATCTCCACTTCATTCTGCATATTTGTTGAGCGATAGGTTCTTGGTTGGTTCGCTGATAGAGTTCCTTCTTGCTTATTCTTTCCGGCCATCTGATCTTCAGTATCGAGCCAGCGAAGGCAGTTGTTGATGAATATCTGTAGTTTGTTGGAAATGCTTTTCATAACACGCCAAGTCTCTGAACCATACAGAAGCACCGACTTGACTAACATCAGTGTTGAAAATCTGCATCTTGTTCCACATGTTGAGTGCAGCAGATCTCCACACTGGTTTCAGGCTAATGAACGCCTGTCTTACTTTTCCGATCCTGGCTTTTACGTCCTCGTCTGAGCCGCCTGTAGTTGAAACAGTGCTTCGTAGATAGGTGAAGGAGACTACTTCTTTTAAATTACTCCCATTGATGGTGACTGGAGAATAGTATTAATAGGTGACATTAATAAGTATGAACATGCCAAAATATATACCATTTGGAACATCCTACGGTGGATACCAGATATGATAAGATGTAAATCTTAGCTGTTACAAAACATTATTCAACACGAGTGGCGTGTAACTAATTACAGACACTTCTGTCATTCTATTCCACTGGTTTGGTGACAAGAAATCTAGTTTTAAAGTTCTATCTTCAACAATGATACTTCATTTCACTTCAAAAGTTAAACAATTTCAAACACAATGATTTTATCACGGACTGGTATCAGTTAGAAAATTATAGAAAACTTTGAAACATTGAACATCTGTTTCGTCCAAATATGGGACACTGTCATCACCATCAAAGGTTGAATGTAGAACTTTTAGGTTTCATGTTGGACACATTGATATTGTTGACCTTCTAGGTCAAAATTGAGAGATTTAAATGATATCAGTCCGTGATGAACCTTAACCTGAAATAAGTAAATGATCATAATACACCAAATTGGATATACTTAAACTATAGTCATATGAGGGGGTTGTGGAGATTTGGAAATATTTCAAGTTGTTATTCATCGAAGACTGACCCAGTGGCTCAATGGTAACGCGTTGGTCGCGGAACCTGAAGGTCGCGGGTTCGATCCCTGCTGGTGGGGTCGTGGGTGCGCACTGCTGAGGAGTCCCATACTAGTCGGACGAAACAGCTGTCCAGTGCTCCCAGGTATCCTTTGTTCCTCCAACTGATGTCAGTCTTCGATGAATAACAACTTGAAATATAGTCATATGAATTGATGCCAATTAACTGTTTCAGATATTTCAAGTTAATTTTTAAATTGCAACTGAATGATTTAACTATAAGAAAAAGATAATGTTAGTGGTTATGAACTAATTAACCGTAATTGATAATAGATTACTTCAGCTAGGTAGGATTACAAAGCTTGAAATGCATTCCATGCTTGAAACGTTTTTTTTTATTAAACAGGATAAAAGTATAACATAAGCCAATTTATTTTTCCATTGGATTCCTAGTGGAACATAGGGGTTCAATAGCACTCCGCAATTGCACTCCCTTCTCTGCAGTCGTTTCAACCGCGCTCCACGACTACCCACAAGCTTTCATTTCTTCCTCATATGATCTCCTCCATGTCACCCCCCAGCTCACATGCCCAACTCGTCATTTCCCATGCAGGGTCCACTTGAGGGTCTGGCCTGATGCGTAATATGCTCAATCGGCCTTCTCAGAGTATGTTAAATCCATCTCCACTTTCTTCCCCATATTTGCTGGGTGATAAATTCTTGGTTGGTTCGTTGTCAACCAGCCAGAGTTCTTTCTTGTTTATTCTTATTATTCTGGCCATCTGATCAAGTGAGCGTGGGTGGCAGCTATTGATGAATATTCGTAGTTTGTTGGAAGTGCTTTTCGTGATGCTTTAAGTTTATAAGCCATACAGAAGCACGGACTTGACTGAATTGGTGTTGAAAATCCGGATGTTGTTCACCCTTTGTGCTGAATGGTGTAGATCTCCACACTGATTTCAGATTAGTGAAAACCTGTCTTGCTTTTCCGATTCCCGCATTCACATCCTCATTTATGCCACCTGTAGTTGAAACGATGCTGCCTAGGTAGGTGGAAGAGACAACTTGCTTCAGATTGGTGCTTCTCGTTGATGCTGTTGTTGGTTGGGTATCTTCATACCTCTGTCTTCTCTACATTCACTTGAAGTCCTGTTTCCGCTGCCCTGCCTCTTCTGTCAACTTGTTGGTTTTTGCCTGTAGATCTCTGAGTTTGTGCGACATTTAACATAAATCATTGGTGAAATCCAAATCTTCTTCTGGGGTCTTTTCATCGGTCAAACAGCATATGCCCATCTTCTCGCCCCTCACGGTTTGCTGCATGATCCAGTCTACCACAATCAAGAAGATCACAGGCAAATTAACGAGTACCAAAATAAAAAATTTCTCCTGTTAACATTTCACATATAACAAATAAGTATCTGCATCAACGAACACTGCTAATCTGATAGAATGGTAATCAACATGACTGATTGTGACTCTTTACTATCATTCATCAGTAATACATTACTACAGGGATGTCTATCTAAGAGTAACAGTTTCACTATCTGCGTGAATACTTAGTTACCTAAATAGATTGATAGTTTCATGGTGGCATTCAACATGGATTGATATCAACTGAAGAACTGATGAAAACCTAGTAGTACTAGATAGTTATTTTACTCCAGCATGAGGCTTTTCAGCTGTGCTCACTCATGACTCCACTAGGAATCGATTCAGCAAAACTCACCCAAGGAACTAAAATCCTGTAACCGCTTCATTGAAAGAACTCTGCCTAGATATAGTTTATGTGTAAACTGTAAGTAAGCATATTATTTTATTCAGTTAACTCACTGTTTTTGATTCGATAAACACATATCTCCTCAAATAAATGAACAGTGAAGAACACTGAACATCCATTTTCTTACGCATTCTTCTTCTCAAACACTTTATGACCTTGTATTGATGATCATTTCTATGAAATCTCTCTGGTTTTGTTTAGACTTTCATTACATTTTGAGTTCTATTCAAAAAGGAATCTTGATGATATCCTTTATTTCGCCTCCTAACTAGTATTGGTAGTCAAGAAAATATGTAAACGACTGCTTACTAAAGATAATATTTAGTAAACTGCTGAATACCGACCTTTTTTAAGCTGATATCATGGTGTTAGCCTTCTTGCAGACTGTCAAACTTAATTCATTACTTCTTTTTCAAGGTCTATGAGATCTCTAAGATATGAACGATCAAGTAATCAACCTTTTTGTTTTGAATCCTTATGGTTAATCAGAATATATTAGTCAATTAATATTTTATAATTATTCACTTATATGGTTCAGTAATATTAGATATTATACTCATTACTGTACTTAGTGGTACTTTATATGTTAGTTTCATACATTTTAGCCCTCTTCAAGAAAAGGTGATAAGATTTCAAATTCTTCAGACATTAAACTTTTCAGTAAACTTCCTCAAAGTTTGATGGAAATAAAATTCTTAATTATGCTTACATATACGATCAGATTGACCGGTTCCACACTAAGATCCCTATACTATCTGTTGTTAGCTCTTGAAGGACAATTATTATCATTATCTGTCTTCTGCGTTCCCAATGGAAAATAGAGCTTCATTAGCAGATCACCATTTCACTCTCTTCTCTCCAATCTACTTAACCTGGCTTCACCACTGCCCAGAAGCTTTCATTTCTTCTTCCCACCATCTCCTTAACGTCACCCTCGGACTCCCAACTCGTCGTTTCCTAGGCGAGTTTTACTCCACGACCTAGTGCATGATGTCCTCAAACCGTCCTCTAAGTGTATGTCCAATCCAATCCATTTCACTTGCTTCTTCTGTATTTTTGTGAGGCGATATATTCTTGGTTGGTTCGTTGCGAGGTCAAAGTTCCTTGTTGCTTATCTCTATTATTACAGCCATATGATTTTCAGTATCGAGTGAGCGAGTGTCAGTGGCAGCTGTTGATGATGTACGTGTGCAGTTTCTTGGAAATGCTTTTCGTAACGCACTGCCAACTCTCTTAACCATCACATAGAAGCACTGACTTACTTGACTGACATCAGTGTTGAAAATCCGCATCTGGTTCACCCTTTATGCTAAGTTGATTGGAGTAGATTAAAGTGGAGTAGATCTCCAGACTGATTATTTCAGATTGACGAAGGCCTATCTTGCTGTCTTTCCGATTCTGGCTATCACATCTTCATCTGTGCCTGTGCCACGTGTAGTTGGAACGATGCTGTCTAGGAAAATAGGTAGGTAGGTGAAAGAGACAACTTCCTTTAGATTTCTCCCCTTGATAGTGATTGGTGCTTGTTGCTGTTGTTGGTTGGGTATCTTCATCACCTTTCTTCTCTATGTTTGCTTGAAGGAAATCCCGTCTTCCTTGGCTGCCTCGCCTCACCTCTTCTGTCAACTTGTTAGTCTTCGCCTGTAGATCTTCGAGTTTGTTCGACACACGACATTATACATAAATCATCATCGGAGAAATCCAAATCGACCAGGGTCTTTTCATCAGTCAAACAGCGTCTGCCCATCTTCTCACTCCTCACAGTTTCTTGCATAATCCAGTCCACCACAATCCGGAAGGTTATCGGTGATGATAGTAGGCACCAACTTTGTCTTACTCCTTCCTGTCTTCGCTTCAAAGGCATCACTAAGTTTTCGGTTGTGAATCACTTGTCATGTAGCATTATAGAGCATATAGCAGCAGTTGAATGAGATTGATAAAGGTTTGTGGCAGTAAAACCGTAGTATTGAAGCAGCTGCCAAATTACTTCTCAATCGACTCTATCGGAGGCCTTTTGAAAGTAGATAAATTTGAGGTAAAGATTCAGTTGACTGGCATTCAATGCTCTATTCTATGATGATGCGTAGAGTTGAAGGACAATAATCTACCCGTAATATTTCTGGAGTATGTTCATTTCTTCCCTATAGTCATAATGAGGAAATCTGGTGTATAAAGTTGAGAAATCCAATCATACTGATAACACAAACTTTCCCAGTATGATGAGAAAAAAAGTTCACTGGTAAATTAACTCCTTTTATTCAATGGAAATTAAGTGTATATATGCATCATAACAGTATTATAGATATGCTTTAAAAATTTAAGCTTTTTTTCAAGCCTACTAAATTAATAGCTCTATAATATTATAATAACATTCATCATTCATTCCAGTACATGCTGACTTTTATTATGATAATGATGAGATTGATGAAGATGAAAATGTTGTTGCCTTCTTTGTTTACTTCGATGCCATACACTTGATCTAAGACAACATAAACGTAAACACTCACTTTTCTCTTCACGTGTCTCTTCAATTTCAGCAACTTTTTCTTCTACTTCTGGTGGTTTCTCTAAAGCTGGATATCCATGGAATAGATTAGCTAAAAAGGCTAAATTCAATCTTTGTGATCCACTGACAATATCTTCAGGTCGAACAAAAACACGACAATTAAGTTGTTCAGCATTTTGAAGCACCATTTCGGCTCGCTGAACAAGATCTACAGCATCTAGGATAGCCTGTAGAAATATTTAAAAATGAATAATTATTGACTACTTATAGATAGAAAAGGTATTTATTGAAAACATTTCGTCAACTAACAGAATTTGGAAGTATGGACCATTGGATTTCAACTCAGTTGTTCAGTGACAGAGTGCCGGTAGTGTAACCTGAAGGTCCCTGACGATGCGGGGTACTGGGAGAGCACTTCTGAAGGGTTTCACACTGTCAGGTGCCCCCCAAATTTCTAATGTTCCTCCAACCGATGTCAGTCCATGAAGAATACTAACTTTGGAACGTGTTAACTGGTTGTAAGTAATCGTCAGGAAGTCACACCTAGCCTGGGCTTCAGGCCTGTTGGTGCTCGTCACCAAGACGTATCGGCTAACTTGATATCATCCACTGCCCTAACGTATTACAGTAAAGTCTCTAGATCCAACACTGGGTGAAGTGGGTTTAATTCCCTCAGTGGACGCAGTTTTCCTACAGCTTCCAGGTACATCTTGTTGACGTGTGCCAGAATACATAAAACTCAGAACAAGTTGGGTTTTCTATCGATCACTTCATATCATCTAACGTCTATCAGTGTGCACCATGATGATGAGAGTTTAGCTTGCGCTAAGGACTAGACAACATAAATTTATTTACTCTCTGGTCACTAATCACTTTATCGATTAAGATACCTCTAAACTAAGCAGCTAATTTCAAGACAATTTTGACTTAAGAAGTATTTTATAACAATGAATTATTTATGTTCAAAAATTTAAGTCAAAGTCAAACAAAGAAAGTAAAGGTGTATTCAGCTTAGTGACTAGTGGAGGAAGACATGATGCTCGTTTCATCCTATTTGGGACTCGTCAGTTGGATGTACCTGCAACTCAGTGGCTAAGTGGATAACGCTCTGGCGTTTGAAGCGATGGGTACTGAGTTCAAGCTTCAGTGGGAACAAGATCACTCACTGGGTTGTAGGGACATCCACTTGACGAGTCCTAAATAGAACGAAACATGCGTCCTGGATTCTTTTGCTAGTCACCAAGATCAATATAACACTATGAATATCTTGCAGTATCGAGGCATCCGCATACGAGCTCATCTGCCAACAGAGGTTGAGCTATTCGCCGCTGTAAAGCAGCGGGAAACTACAAGTATCATTACTACAAAGTAAGCGTATTTTTCGGATGGATAGGGATTTCAAGTTGAGGTAGTATTCATCATGGACTGACATCAGTTGAGGAACCATTGAAAGCCTGGCAGCACTGAACAGCCACTTCACCCTGGTATAGGACTCCTCGGTAGTACCCACCAATGACCAGGCTAAGGATCGAACCCAAGAATTTTAAGAACGTGTTAACCATTCAGCAACTGGGTCGGTTTTCAGTGGTTCACAGTTTCCAGCTCCTGTCACTTCGTGGTATAGCGTACATATATCACTCAAGGTCTTCAGTTGACATCCGCTTCACTTCCGACTGGTTGACCCCACAGGTCACGGGTTCTCATTAGAACTTCATGATATCCATCTCGAAGCATATCGCTAATAATCACTATACAGTAATGTATTTTTGAGATGAATGAGGATTTTCATTTTGAGGCATTATTCACCACGAACTGACATCAGCGTACGGCTGAAGAGTCCTGTGCTAAGACTTTTCAAGTTTATTTGATGTCACTTTAGCAGCATAATTTCATATAGTTTCGAAATAAAGAAAAGTGTGAAAACTTACTCATTATTAATTTAAATTACTGGTGATATTATTATTCTTTTAATTACCATCAGACGAGGATGTCAAAGCAGCCAGGATCGGGAAGACAGCAAGACAGGCCTTCATTAACCTGAAACCACTGCGGAGATCTGCTGCACTGAGTACAAAGGACTAGATCAGGATTTTCAACACTAATGCCAAGTCAGTGCTCCTATATGGTTCAAAGACTTGGCGTGTTACGAAAGGGATTTCCAACATACTACAAATATTAACCAACAGCTGCTACCTACGCTCGTTACTGAAGATCAGATGGCCAGAAAGAATAAGCAAGAAGGAACACTGGCAACGAACCAACCAAAGACCTATCACGCAACAGATATGCAGAAGAAGAGAGTGGAGATTGATCTGGCATACACTGAGAAGGCCGACTGGTGACATCACGTGCCAGGCTGTCGAGTGGAAGCCAAATGGGAAACGATGAGTTGGGCATCGGAGGTGAGAGTGACATGGAAGAGATCGTGTGTGAGGAAGAAATGAGAACTGCTGGACTGTCGTGGAGCCAGGTTGAAAAGTTTGCAGAGAAGGGAGTGCACTGGAACTGAAACTCTATGTTCTACTAGGAACCCAAAGGATAAATAATAATAAATTACGATCACCTGTAGATTTATGAAGCTTTTAGTAATGAACACCGATACTACGAACAAAGCAGAACTATAAGGCTTTCCGTATTGTTTCACTATGTAGGCCTCTACTTTCCTTCTTGATGTTCATGTAGGCAGAATTTCTATTATCACTTGGTTAAAGAAGATAGACAGGAGGCTCTACTTGGCCTAAGTTCCACGCTTATTGTTATTCGTTAGCAAGGCGTATCAGCCATGTTGACGAAAATGATGTCCCACTTAAGATTCAAACTAGTGTCACGTAGCGTCACCACTGACCTGTTCCAGCCACGACTGACCTCTTACAGAAGTAAATTAAATACACTAATTGGTCACTAGAAAGCAACTAATTCCATTTTTTCTAGTCCTGAATGCAGACCAAATTCTGCTGATCATTTTACAATATGAATATTAAGTCAGGAAACTCTTGATCGTGATGTACTTTGATGAATTCTAGCTGGTTGGAGGCAATTACTAGGAAGCCCTGAACCTAGGTTTCACTCTTGTTAAGACAGAAGTGATTTCCTCTATAATGCCCTAACCTGCATGACTCATAGTCGGGGATGTTACCAGTTTGTTATTCTGGAAACAATTGACCTCTAGTAGAATTCCAACTGGAATCGTTTTAAAGTGTAGAACTTATGAGTGAGAAGTACATAAAGATTGGATTATAGGTATTTATTGCTTAACGGTTTTGAAATTAAAAGCTGAATACGCCACTGTGATGTAGTCTACACTTCATGCCCTCAGTAAGTAGTTAGAGAAACAATCGGAGCATCATCCAAAAATACATCCTCATTCCGATTGTCACAGTTTTCACAAGTGTACAAAAGAGATAGATAAGGTAGGTAATAATTCAATGACAAAACTTGAATAGATTTGTGTCAATATGGTCGATTTTGTGTGACTTGATTGGAATTTACTACCACAAGTTAAGTTTGCATCTCCAAGTGGTTAAGGCATTGAAACCGATGTCAATAGAAAGGTATTTCAACTTGATATGCAACTAAATCATCTACAAATATTACAATTAGCAGTGCATGAGTTCATACCAGAACCGTACAATTGTAGTATACTACCATTCAGTTATTCACATTCCATCAGCTTGCATCACTACAGAATATGTATAAATCTTCTTTTGCCTAGCCAATAAACTGCTCAACACTATTCTTGTGTGATAAATGGATAGAGTTTAGCAGTGAAATTCCAAACATGCATTTCATCCACTAGAATATGCCTGCGCTTCTTTGAATGATAAATTGTTCCCACTAGGATTCGAACTCAGGACTGATCGCTTCATCTCGCTTCTAAAGTTGACACTAGTAGAAATGAAACAGCATGGTCATATTTTGCCAGTTTGGTTTCGTTAACTCTTTCAGTTTCATCCCTTTAACATAACACCTGGAGTTCATCATCTGATCTGTATACATTTAAGCTACTTCTGGTGTTATTTGTTCTTATCCTACTGTACAAATGTTGGTACTGTTTCTCCAAATTTTATCCGTTTACCATTGAAAGGGAGAACGACATTTATCTGCAACAGGTCATTAATTTTTCAGTCAACTTAGTATGTTCTCCTTTTACGTATTCCATAGCTTTTCATATTTGGAGAAGTTATTTCTGACCGCTTACAGACAGATAATGGACGAAACTCTAATCTTGTTTGTCTAAAGTTATATGCAAGACAAAATATGGTTTTCAACTGAAACTAGACTTTCAACTCATAAACTCGCCTTTCAAATTTCATAAACAATTTTTAACTACTCTCAACACAAGTAGCATTGGAAAGGCTGGAAAATATTTGTATTTCAACTTTTCATACATATTATATCAGGCTAAGGTGAAATTCTAACAAATGAATGAAAAAAGGTAAAGATAATCGTCGATTAATTGAATTTTTACTAATCTTTAGTCATAAAGTATCCCTTTCCTGTTTCTTTTGCAGGAAACGATAAGTTGGAGATAGGAAATACTCCACAGTTGGTGTCAGTAGTTAACACTCTCAGTCTGTCACCAGTCTGTTTCACTGCCTTCGTGTAAAGAACTGTATATCTGCAAGCTTTGAGGGGTTTAGACTTTTGTACAACAGCATGGCGTCACCTTTTCCTCTTCTTTCTTGATAACACGTTGATGCTGTATATTTTAAAATGCACACTACAAAGTACTGATATCATCCACGAGTGAAACTTTTACACTGGATCAAAAAGCATTTAATGACTAACCTACTGATTAGTTTATCAGTAGTTAACAGTAAACACATAAATTTTAAAACAACTTACACGAGCTGAATGCATGTATGGTTTCTTTTCCTGAGGAGCAATTTTTTCCACAAGATAGGCATAAACTTCTGAATTCTACAAACGAAAAATACAGTTCATAGCCGAGATTATGCTAATAACAAAGCAATCACAAAAATTTTCAAGTCTAGGTTGTTAGAAATAGTTGATGGGCGGTGGTTTCGGACGGAAACCCTGTTGATACCAATCAGAGTTAGGTATTTGAAAACTACTCAGTTGTGCATAATTTCAATTAAGACTTCGTAGTCTATCAGTCATATTTTGAGGGGCACGCCGGATCATCCAAGTTAGTTAGCTAGACTTAGTTGGTCGAATCAGTTCGCCTCTGCTTACTCAGTTTGTCTACGTACACTGCTAATGAGCCCACTCCTAAACGAGTAAAATGGTTGAGATAGCAGAGAATATTTGCAGCTTAGGTGAATGGTCTGGGTTATATTGTGTCCTCTGAGATGGGTTGTTTAATTGTGAAGCTTTCATCGTCCTTCTAGACGACATCATCACCACTAACTTCAGTATGAAGTGAGCTGTCAATATCTCTCCATGAGTAATTTAGCTGTTTACCTTGGAGAAGTGTCTGTGATTGATTGTTTCCTTTGATTGTTGTGTCACTGATTGCACAGATGTTCCTGTTGACTGTTCCTCTGCTTGACATCCCACCTTTCTGTCGTTTATCATATTTCTTATTGGTTGGTAGATTGGGTCTATGTCTATACATCTGTTGATTGCTGACTGACTGACCTGAAAGCCAAGCTTCTAGGAAATCTCTCATATTCTTTATGTTCCCTCTGTCCAAATTTCTACACTGGCGAAATTAGACAGAGAAAACATAGGTCAATCAGTCAGCAATCAACAGATGTATAGACATAGACCCAATCTATCAACCATTAAGAAATATGATAAACGACAGAAAGGTGGGATGTCAAGCAGAGAAACAGTCAACAGGAAAATCTACATAGTCAATGACACAACAATCAGAGCAAACAACCAATCACAGACTACTTCATCAAGGCAAGCTACTGAATCACTGACGGAGAAATACTGAGAGCTCACTACATACTGATGTCGTCTAGAAAGACAATGAAAGCTCCACAACTAAACAATCCATCTCACAAAACACGATACGACCATGAATAAAACGTTTATCTGGCTGTTAGACCACTCTAATCTGGCTACAAGATGTGCAGATCAGCATGAGTGATTTCTAGCTACTTATGCCTTTCAGTAGTATATTTAAATTGCTTAAGTTTTTAGTATGATTATCTGTCGGAGATTCCACAATAAAAATTAGATGACAGGTAAATGAAGTTTTTTATTTATTACGGTTCGATATGTAGTGGTGGTGGTTCGACTTCATCATACTTAAAATGTCAGCTTAACAAAACTTTAGTGAAAATATATATCCACTTAGTTCAACTGTTTCTTCTTCAGCTGACAGAAAGATAAGTCAACGTATGAACTGGTACAAAAGTGCAGCAAACATGCAAACTAATGGGAGATAGTAAACGAATAACACAAAGGTGAACAGGATTGCATAAGAACACAGAGGATAGGCAGATGGATGTGAATGAAAACATTTAAATTTTCAAATCGTACATATATATATAACTACGCCACTGAAATTCATTGTGAAACATATTACCGAGAATCTCTAAGCATTGATTCCTCTCGTCTGAAGGACTATAGATAGCCAATCTATACCCTCATATGCGACATAGACCGACAATCAAAGACTTCATAAACCTGTACCACATCTTGTTTTGGTCACCTCTAGCATTCTTCCAACGTAATCCTACTTCGATTACCATTGGTTATCGAGGTAGACGATTGGTTGACAAGTGCAATACATGTTCAAACTCAGCTTGAGAAGGTCTCAATTTCATCGACTGACTTGCCGTCCTTTCATACTACTATTTGCTTCACCACAACAGTGTTTATACTATGCTTCCTGCAATTACAACCAATCCCAAGAAGACATCTGTGGTCAGAAAATCTGTAAAGCCCTCATAACGTTCAAAATAGTATCTCGCAGCCGTGCAGTGGGACAAACCAACCCACTAGACAGTGTGTTCCCTCTCCATTATTTAGTTGAATGTCTCACCAGCATCACAAGTGGAGTTAGTTAGAAAATGCTATTTGATCCTTTTGCCGCACAAGTAGTCAAAGGTTTTATATATAGCCAATAATCTGTGAACACAACTTCAAAATACAAATAAGACTCATATGTGGAAAGCTTTTTCGCTAAAATTATTCATGTTTAAAGGATATGAACTGACTAGCGTTTATTAAAATTTATATTAAGAAACCAAAGATTCACTTGGTGGTTTTTGAAGATTGATTTTATTCATTATGGTGTCAATCAAAGGCTGACATTAGTTGAAGAACAACTGAAAACTTGAGGAGGTTGAGAGGCTGTTTCGTCTTAATATGGGATTCCGATGACCTACCTAATGATCTTTTCCAGGACCAACTGATTTTATGAACGGTACTTCATCATTCATCTAATGGTTCACATATCCACTCGATCCCTCAAGAAGTAAGTTGTGTACTCTGTCAAAGACTTTTAAACTAGGACAGAACAAGTTTTCCTAGATCTTCAGCAATTTATCACTTCATCAGTCTGCGACGAGTACTACAAGAATTCCTAGTGAAAATTATCAACAAGTTAATAATTATATCCAATCTCCTGACTTCAAGTTCAGTTATATTTATATACAGATGTTAGTTACATTTTTTAGTGTGGTAAGCAACAGAAGTCACACATCCTTCACTTCATAATCTCCTCAAGGAATAGGTCGCTGAAATTCTCTTCACATTAGCTGCATTATTTTGATTGTCGAACAAAGTGTAGTCAGTTGTCTACAGTTCCTCTGTAAATTCTGAGTGAACAAGTAATCTCCACATTGTAGAATGAATAGTTCATCTTGATGTTCTCTGTTCAACAAAGCATCTATGAAGTATTCTTCAAACTTCCACAAAGTAAACTCTGCTAAGAAATACATTACAAGAAGGCTCACAATATATAGTACCAAATAAATGTTAAATAAAAAGAGATGCGAAGGAGCAGCAGTAAAGGTGCGATTTCTCGTTCTGTGTGCAGGAAACTAAAGTATAGGCTTCATTACAAAATGTTTGGGTGTTAATCAGTTATGGGAGCAAACAAGCAATGTAACATACTCCAGAAAACTGAACTCAGCTGTGGGATATGTGATCTTATTTTCCTCTTGAAACCGTTAACTTTGTTTCTTGATGTAACACTCCTTTAGTTATTCAGATAAATGGCCCTACATATGTATTTACCTTTTAAAAATAATCATCAACATTCTACTGTATACTTAACAAAGAGATTTTTCCATTTCTCCAGTTTAACTTCATTATCCACTGGAGATTAACCGATCCCATGTTGTCTAGTATTAAGCATGGTTCCAGTCATATCCAGCAGTGTACTATGTTTCCAAGAAGCTAGGAGATTTGTCACTCTCATGAAAGTTGATTGATATAGCACGATTGGATTGAATCTACACAAAGCCCTTTGTTAGTATTGAAAATCATCAGCAAAGCAAAACTTTAAACAGAAAAGGAGATGACTTCCCCTAACAGATTCAAATCCGCATCAGTCAACTTAACCCAAGTGGCTTAGTGATCACGTTTGTTGCTGTCACAGCAGGTGATATACGTTCAAATATTTGAGCCGACATCAGCACTGATACATGAAAGTCAGTTCGAACAGGGTTTCCAACCGATTCCACTCAACCCTCCAAAACAATGTGTCAATTTGTTTTTCAGATATGTAGAAAATTGTTTTTTACATAATTTTTTCAGTCCTCATTCTTTTGAACAGAATAAAAATTGACAAACAGCGTTCACCCATCAGAAAACTTAGTTGTAAACTGTGTGGAAATCTACTTTCACTGTATGAAATATACTCATCAGTAAAATTATTTCATTGAAGAGAATCTTTCCACTTATTTCACCCTCGAAACAATCATAAATTTGTACATTTTTCTGATGTTAGGATCTCATACATAAAAGTAATAAAGTAATAAAGGTTCTTGGTTGGTTCGTTGCCAGCCAGCCAGCCAGCCAGATTTCCTTCTTGCTTATTCTCATTATTCTGACCATCTGAGCTTGAGTATCGAGCCAGCGTAGGGTGCAGGTGTTGATGAATATCTGTAGTTTGTTGGAAATGCTTTTCGTTACGCTCCAATTTCTCAACCACCATATAGAAGCACTGACTTGACTAACATCAGTGTTGAAAATCTGGATGTTGTTCATGCTTTGTGCTGAGTGCATCAGATCTCTACATTGGTTTCAGGTTGATGAAATCCTGTCTTACTGTCTTTCCTATCCTGACTGCTTTGACGTCCTCATCTGTGCCGCCTATAGTTGAAACGATGCTGCCTGACTAGATAGGTGAAAGCGGTTACTTCCTTTACATATGTACATATGGATTAGCGTTGGATGTACGATGAAGAATTAATAGTAATCAAAGCAAAAGTTATGTGGTGATAGTTCATTCAGCCAGAACAAGAATCTGTATCCGATGGATAGACATATGATGTACTTTTACACACTGAAATATGCAGTCGCCATATAACGTGACATTTTTCTTCGTTTTATTAATAATTCGAGATATGGTAGGCTGAATTCATTTTAAAAATATATAAGAGTTCATGATACCTTCAATAGGGTATATTTAAATGATTAAAACAAATAAAAAAGGGAAAGATTTCATATAAATGTTCTGTGGAAAATTTTAGTAGCCCAAAGTTCAAGTACTCCACCTCTTTATATGTTAGTTTAGCTTACTATTAATGTGTTCTAGTAAAAAATGCATAATTTTCACATCATGTTACTTTCTTTGAATCAGTGAAATAAAATCCTTTTTTAAAAGTGTCTATGCCTATATTCCTCTGATTATTTTTGAGTAAAATTATCCTCCGGCATAGTTTAGTAGTGATTTTATATACTGAAAGTAGATTTCTTTTTCAAAGACGTACAATTACAAGTTTATACACCTTTTGTGATGATTAATACTTACCAAAGGCCTTCGTCAAAAA